CCGCAATGCCAGACGCAAATTACGACGGAACGCAATGTAAATAAAGATGGAGTTTGTTATTTTTGGCTCTTAGGCATTATTTGATTATTTGATAATGTACTCGTAAAATGCAAACAATTAATAAAAACGGACTTACCACTAACTGTCCCAACTTTTCACCTGGTGTGTGAAAGTTTATTGAACGTATTAAAAAAATCCACTTATAAATAGGGAACACAATTTTGATACATACATTGTTTTCCTTTTTAAAACCCACACTGCACTTTTTTTGTATTTAAAGGTGTTCAAAATGTCGTCCTCCAGTTTCCACGCAAGCTTCATTACGACGAACCCAGTTTCTTCTTACTCTAGGTCATTGATTCCCAAAGTGGTCTATATCGACCCCTAGGGGTCTATGACAACCTGCAAGGGGTCTACGTCAGCGAAAAAAAATTTGGGGCTCCATGAAAGTGGATAGTGGATCTCAACACATACACTGATAGTACCTATTTACTTACATCATACTATCTTATAATATCAAAACATATACATTATTTATAAAAGTACCTATGAAGTAAAAAATTTATTATATCTGTTTATAAAATTGTGTAAGTTGTAGGATGTTGGTATTCGCTTTGTGGTCGCAATACATTTTGAACTTGTAAAAACCTGAGAGTCGCAGTCTCAGAGCTTCGCTACCTTGCACTGACTTGTTCAATTCGTCACTCTATAAATACGAATGTGGGACAAATACGTTTATTTTTTTCCTGAATCTTGAAAAGGAAAGTGCTAAGAAAATATTTTAAAAATATAAACAGATAGTATATCACACAAATTATAGTGAGTCAGTGTTATTTTGTTTGAGAGTGCTGGAGAAAAGTATGTACATTTTTTTTTATTAAATTTTAGTTTTGTACTCGTAGTTAGCAAAGATAGATAAAATACGCCAATCATGACTTTAGTTATTAGTAGTTAAAATATTCAATCATGCAAAATTACACGAGTACTCCTCAATAGTTTCTTTTTGGAAGTTTTAGCAATCGGTGCAATCTCCGTAATTCGAGCTAATTGTTGCAAGAAGATGTTCGAATTATGGAATGTTTTCGAAAAAATCAAAAAATATTTTTAATATACAGCTGCTGGATTTTTGTCCTATTTAAATAATTTAATTTTACCTACAGATGACTGATGCCATGTCCGAATCTAAAAAGAAATGTAGACAGTACAGTGTTGATTATTTGAAATTTGGCTTCATTCTATCATTGCCGGACAAACAATCGCCTATGTGCCTTTTATGCAACAAAGTTTTGCACAATGACGCTATGAAACCATCTAAACTGCAAGATCATCTGAGAAGATGCCACCCTGATAAAACAGAGAAAGATTTGGAATACTTTCAAACACTCAAAGATAAATTTCAGAAGAGACCTACACTGGACAGAATGTTCGCTTCGACGTCACAGAGAAATTATGATGATTTGCGGGCGTCTTACAATATCTCCTTACTTATCGCAAAATCCGGAAAACCGCATACTATCGGAGAGAAGTTAATTTTGCCAGCCGTTGAAGAGGTTTTAAAAACTGTTTTACACAAACCTGCATCTGATATCATTAAAAGAATTCCCTTAAGCAACAATACTGTTGAAAGACGTATTGATGAAATGAGTTCTGATATCGAAAACTTCTTCTGTAATTATTTGCAAACGACCCATTTCTCTATACAACTGGACGAGTCAACTTTACCTGATAATGCAGCATTATTATTGGCATATGTTCGTTTTATTATGAATCAAGAAATCTACGAAGAACTGCTCTTCGGAAGAACTTTGATAACCGACACTAAAGGTGAATCAACATTTCATGTTTTGAAGGATTACTTCATTGAAAAAGCAATTCCTTTATCAAATATAATATCAGTAGCTACAGATGGAGCACCTGCCATGGTTGGACGTTATCGTGGATTTATAAGCTATTTAAAACAAAATGTGTTAGGGGTGTTAGCAGTACATTGTGTCATCCATCGACAACATTTAGTTGCTAAAAATTTGAGTGTTAGATTGCATGAATCACTTCATTTAGTCGTTGATGCAGTAAACCGAATCCGAAGCAGCGCGTTGAATACGCGGTTATTTGCGCAGTTGTGTGAAGAAAATGACGAACATTTTCATCAATTACTCTACTACTGAAGTACGCTGGCTGTCGAAAGGCTTATGTTTGACAAGATTTTTTGCACTTTTTGAGACTATTTAACAGATTTGTTTACAAAATTTAATATGGTTAATTTGCAATTACAAGGCGACAGTTTAAATTTGATTAAAACAAAGTCCATCTTATCAGCGTTTCTTGCCAGAGTTAAACTAATGAAGCAAAATATTGGACGGGGCGAATTTTCTCAGTTCCCCAATTTGTCACAGACAAGCTGCCAGGAAGACGACGTTTCAACTTACGTTCAACATTTAAATGCCCTCTATTCAGATTTTGAATCTAGGTTTGAGGATATTTTGACTATGGTAATACCACCGTGGATAATTAATCCATATGGTGACATAGAAGAAACGAATGTCATAATACAAGAGGAACTGACTGAACTAAGTACAAACGAAGAACTTAAGGTTCAGTTTAAAAACGGCAATTCTGGCTGCAAAACAACATACCCGTTACTTATCCCGTATTATGGAATATAGCGAAAATTTTTAATTTCCGTTCCATCGTCATACCTAGTGGAAAGCTGTTACCAATCTCCTAACGAAAAAAAGAAACAGACTGGACGTCTTTAGGCGAGGAGATTTAAGATTAACCCTTACAAAATTGACGCCAAAAGTTGATAATTTATTATTAAAGCATCAGGTTCATCCTTCTCACAAAATATATTGACTTATTGCTTATGTTATTTTATTTATAGTTTATTTTATGTTTATTGGTGTCTGACCAACAAATGCCCGCATTGGGAATAAGTGCCCGCATTGATTTTTTTAAAGAACCCCCCTTTATAGAAAATATTTGTTTTGTTTTAAAAATTATTCTAAAAATTCAAGGATAGGTACACACTAAAATTCGTGAATTTTTTGCCTATTTTTAGATAACTTAAACCTATAAGAAGCGGAATTTAATCAAACTAACAGTGAAATTATTGTAGAACATACGTTTATGTTATAATTAATAAACGAACTCGCTTATTGTACTATTTTAACTAAAAAAAATTTTTTTTATTATTTTTCACTTTTTTTTTTATTTTATCCCTCTTATTTTTTTTTCAATGCGGGCACTTATTCTCAATGCGGGCACTTATTGTTCAGACACCTGTTTATTTAATGTTACGTATATTTTACATAACAGATACAAAATTTTATTTTGAGTAGTGAAGAAAATGATGAACACTTTCATCAATTACTCCTTCACACTGAAGTACGCTGGCTGTCGAAAGGCTTATGTTTGACAAGATTTTTTGCACTTTTTGAGACTATTTTAGAATTTTATATTGTATTATTGTACTATTTTAACTAAAAAAAATTTTTTTTATTATTTTTCACTTTTTTTTTTATTTTATCCCTCTTATTTTTTTTCAATGCGGGCACTTATTCTCAATGCGGGCACTTATTGTTCAGACACCTGTTTATTTAATGTTACGTATACTTTACATAACAGATACAAAATTTTATTTTGAGTAGTTTTAATTTAAATTCAATTAATAAATGTATAAATTAACATGTGTTTTTACTTTAAGTTTTTAACACTAAACTTCACTACAGTTAGAAATTTACAGGAAATCAATATCAGGTAAGTAGGGGGTCTACCCAACACGGAAAAACATGGCAAGGGGTTTACGACACAAAAAAGTCTGGGGAACACTGGTCTAGCATATGTAGCCGGGGCAAAATAAAATATTACCGTATATTGCTGGCTATCATATTTCAACCAGAAAATGCAGGAAAAGTCTAAAAATATTGTCCGTTTAGAAGAGCCATAATAAGTGACTACCTACAACTTTTACTATGGAAATCAGATAACTTTTTCCTCTGACATCTAAAATTTGATATTTCGAATAAATGATACCTTGCCAGATTTAGATACGATTTTATAAAACACGCGAGCCAATAAATGAGGATCAACTGAATCATCCTTGAAAAATGAATGCTGGCAATCGATTTCAGCTAAAAAAATTCAATTTTGCAGAGGTGGAAGCAACCTCATTCATTTTCCCTTATTCGCCTGCAATAAGAACATCCAGGCGAGTGGATAGTCACGATTGTCATCGGCAAACACATCAGCAGCGAAATATAACAGATTGTCCTGTCCGTTGCCTGAATAATTTACGGACCGGTTCCAGCATAATGTCATCAGTCGCGCCCTTGGGCCTTGAACTATTTCGTTTTGCTCACCACCCGCTACTCCCTAGCACCCCCTGGTGAGACTCTGGTCGCACCCCTACTTTCATTAAAGCTCGTCGTTATTCATCCCCTTCGTCAGGAGTCTTCAATGTTCCTAATGACTGTTTCTAAGCCATTTTTATACCAAGACGCCTATGGAACAAATCGTAAATTTTAACTTTCAGTCTTCAGAAAAGACAACATATAAATAACCCATAGAGCACAGCTTATATACAGGGTGTTCATTTGAAAACTTTCCACCACGGATTTATCGAAAATCACTGATCAAAAGAAAAAACGCCGAGACACGTCAAGGGGGACAAGTTTTTAACAAAAAACTACTTCACCCTCGGCCCCCCAGGGACTTTCCCTTAAATACTTCAAATGATGAGAGATGTCGAATAGCTTGTTTGAAAGGTATGTCAAAGTCCCTTATTTTGACGTTTGATTATTGCAAATCCGAACTTACCTATTTTTTATGTCAGTTCGATACTGCGCTCCTTCTTGGCAGCAAATTTGTCGATCACCTTCCCGTTGAAATTTTCCATGGTCGAAATAAATTCCTTTTCAATTTTCAATGGACAGCATCGACGACGCTGTAAGGCGATCCTGGGACATAGTATTTCGAAGAAAAGTCTTGATTCTTTTCAATGTTTAGAAATTTCGCTCAGCCTCTGATGTTGACATAGGAGTTGTTACAAGAATTTCTAATAGCTTTTTTGTTTCTTTTAGTGTTTCCTCCAAACTGTTTTGTATCAAACATTTCAAAAGAGACAGAGCTCCACGTACATCTCGGCAATCATTCCGTGCATAAATAACAGACAACTCTGTCTTTAAACGAGTTTTTTCTAAACCGGGATAAGTCAAGCAGGTAGTTTCCAACTTGTCATCAGGAAACTTGTATTCTCCAAAGTGTTCGGGGAAAAAAAGGGATGCGGCGACCAAATGATCTTTGAATTGGAATCTGTCATTTGCAGAATTCACTATGTTGTCGCATACTTCTAATGCGGCAACTAAGTGATCGTGACTGCTATTATTACGTCGTCTCCTTCTATTGCCTTGCGGTATAGTGCAAATACTTTTGGCTTCATTTGTTATGTCATCAATTTTATTTCTCACATCGACAATACATTTTTCAAAATTATCGATAGCCGTTTTAACTTGCGCTGGCTCGGTTTTTCTCTTCTGCAACTGGTTGAACAAGATGTCGACGTGAGGCATGACATGATGAAAAAATGTCAACCAAAACACGAAAACAGAATCGTTTAACATACGGCGAATACCGCAAGCTGCCTTGCAAACGGTTTCATTAGTGAAATTTACCACTTAGAGGGCATAGAGATAGAGGACGACTTTTTTCTAATGACGAGGATGTCCTTGATAATGAAGGGAATTTTAGAGAACTAATATGGTTTAGAGTCGAGAGCGGCGTCAATTTATTGAAAAGAAAACTTAGAGAACTCAAAAGCGCATGCTACGTACATAAGCAGCCGCATCCAAAATGAAATTATAGAATGTTGTGGCGAAGAAATCTTGGATATAGTTTTTAAGTCACATCAGGCAAAGTCAGTATTACAGTATTATATTTGACGAAACTACAGACATTAGCCATAAATCACAAATGTCAATCGTATTGCGGTATTGTTATCAAAAACATTTACTAGGACTTCATGGCATTTGTGGATTGCTACTCAAATTTTGATGAAGATACAATGGAGCCCAAACTCACAGGTCAAATTCTTGCTCAACCAGTCAAGCACAAAAGGGCGCTGTAATGGAATTGCAAAAATGTTTTCCAAACGCTCTAAAAAAGCCCAGGCGCAAATCATGCCTTGAATCTTTCGATTTCAAAAAGCAGCAGTGTCCAAGCAGTAAGAAATACTGTAGGTATAATGAAGAAAGTAATTGCGTTCTTCAAGGCATCCGCTGAAAGAAATACAGTATTAAAAAGAAAACTAGACGGATATCAAATTCATATTATGTGCGAAATACGATGGACCGAGACTCTGAGCTCCAATTTGAAAGCGAATTCGAGAAAACTGTAGAGGTACTAAATATTATATCAAATTGGAAAGACCGCGAAGCTTCTTCAAAAGCGGAGTCTTTGAAGACTGCCATTACTTCCACCCAATTTATCGTATCACTAAAGTGTTTGTGTGATATATATTAGCGTTAACAGTCAACCTGAGTAAGATTTTACAATCAAAAACAATTGACAAACAATACCTTGTCAAACTCATAGGAAATATTATTTCAGTGGTACAAGAAAAACGCAAATTCCGAAAAACACTATATTCGCATCTATAATGAAATCACATGAAACCCTGGGTATTGAACTGACCGTGTCAAGAATAACCAGCAGACAAATGAACAGACCGAACATAGTTACGTCTACCTATGTGTCCCTTTGCTAGATGATATATTACAGGATTTGATATACCCGTTCAATGAAGAATCTTTGTATATATACAATTTTATTTTCTTTGCGTCAGTATTTAATTCAAAAACTGCAGCTGAAGTAATAGACATATTAGAAACAACCTCTTAATATTTGCATGTACTAAATAGTAACGAAAACAAAAATTTAATAAGTACCAGATTAAAAGCAGAATTTGACCTTTGGAAGTCACGTTCACTAGATATTATAGACAGTGGAATGTCACTGTATTTATCATGTGATGAAAACACTTTTCCTTCAATTAATAGATGCCTACAATTATTGATTTCATTGCCGGTAAGTGTTGCGACATCTGAAAGAAGTTTCTCCCATCAAAAGAGGATGAAAAATTGGCTGCGCTCCACTATGTTACAAGAGCGATTAGTGGGTTTAGCTCTTTTGTATATGCATAGGGATATTAAAATAGACGTGAATACAATCATAGATTGGTTCGCCGGCAAAAAGAATAGGCGCCTTGATTTTGTAATATGATAACACCTGAACTTCTCCCTTCTGTTGGCCAATAAATAAAAAAGCAGACGTAGTTAAGGGTTTACTTACGTTTAAACCACCACGGTGATCTTTTCCAAAGTATCCAATCAAGATATGTGGTTTCAAATCGCCCACAATCTGTGCAGATATCAGGATCATTTAGTAAAGAAATGTATATTAAGTGTGGTGTCCCACAAGGAACTGTCTTAGGTCCGCTGTTATTCAATATATATTTAAATGATATTTTCCAAATTAATTGTGTTGGCAAAATAACTAGTTTTGCAGATGATACTGCAATATTATATGAAGGCACTGACTGGTCTGATCTGAAAAATGTAATTGAAAATGATTTTATCAAAATTATTCGGTGGTTTAACAGTAGAAAATTAAGCATTAACTACTCTAAAACACATTTTGTACCATTTGGATCTTAAGCTAGACAACCGCCAAATTACACAAATTTCTCCTTCAACATTAATGATCAAAAAATGCAAATTAATAGAGTGCCCAACATAAAATACCTTGGAGTGGTCTTGGATCCTCACTTACGATGGGACATCCATGTCAATTATATTTTAAAGAAAGTTACATTTGTATCCTACAAAATTAAATACCTTGGGAATATATTGACAGAAAAATATCTTCGAACATTACACCATGCACTGATTGAGCGTCATCTCACATATGGTATATTAGCATGGGGAGCTGCAGGTTCCTCACATATCTATAATCTAGATGTGTCTCAAAAAAGTATTCTAAAAATGATATTTAAAAAACCGAAACTTTATCCCACTGAAAAATTATACGCAGATGTTCGAATGTATGATATAAGACAGCTTTATTTCTTACACAGTATCACTCACTACCATAAATTTGTAAACACCGACCAAAAAATTAAACATAATCATTATACCAGGTACAAATTTCGTGGCACAGTAGTTTCTCAACCGCATATATCTATAATGCAGCGATCATATCTCTATTTAGCGCCTAAATTTGATGAAATTATACCTAAAGACTTAAAAGATTTACGTTTCGGAAATTGTTTCAAAAGAAATTTAAAAAAGTGGCTACATTCTATATCTAGGACTGACATTCATAAACTCATAAATACGAACATCAACTAAATACATAATCTTCTGTAGCTAATTTTTGTCCTTTTTTGTCATTTGCATTCTACAGTTTCAACTTAAATTATTGGTCCATGTACAGGCGATGCCTTTCTATTGGGCCTGTTTTGATTTTATATTTATTTACTCATATTGTTTGTTATATTTGTACATTGAGTGAATAAATAGTATTATTATTATTATTATTTATTGGCCAGCAGATTCCTTCCAACAACTATACAACTTACAGCCTCCAATAATGACATCTCTGAAGCAGATGGTACTCGTACAGCCCATCAGAGCCAAACATTGATAGCTAAACCATCATGAAGGTTAGGCAATACGTACAGCTTCAAAACGAGTTCACAACAAGCGATCGACAGCTACTGCTAAGTTGACATCTTGTAGAAAAACCTACACAACGTCACAAAAAGAACTGACAAAGTACTATTTGTCATTATTCATCAGAGCGGTCCGGTCGACCTTTGCTCTTAGTTAAAAACTGACAAAGTGTCCTTTTAAAAATGTAAAGCTTCGAGATGTTCCAAAAATATTGTCAACTCCTAGCGCCCACTTGAGGGTCACTCAAACGTGCGTTATTGTTTGTTTATATTCTAAGGGTTGATCAAACTTCAATCATGTTGCCCATCGAAAACTTTTCATACCTAAATCCAACAATAAAGAAAGTCTAGCTTGTGTTGACAAACCACTGAACAGAGCGCCAGAATATCGATATCCCGTCGCTAAAAGTGCTCGGATGTGGGCGATAACTGGATCATAAACGTTATTTTCATTTCTGACATACAAATTGTAAGACCTTTATAGCACCTATACACTTAAACGCAACTGCTTTTGGTAAAGCGGTCGTTATACAGGGTGTTTGATGCATCGTTTGCCAAATTGAAACGGCGGACAGAGAAGGTCTTTTTCTATCACCCCAGGTCCCTCAAACAGTTTTTAGCCCAACGGAATGAATTATGTAGATTTTTTAATTTTTTTTAGTAAAAACTCCAAAATGTAATACACAAAGTGAAATAAACAAAATAAAAAGTATGTTCCCTAATGATTAATTTATCTTAACGGGTGATATTGTACCAATCTTTCAAAATCAACATTACTTGCCAGCAGCATGTAGTTCTTTATTTATAAACTCACAAAGGGTTACAAAGAAGAACAAAAAAATGTAAGTATACTATAACTATCTAAAACTGTAATGACTCATCGATGTTCACGTGAACATCACTTAACTACCAGTAGTCGGCTGTTTATAGGCGGGGTATGAATGTTTAACATGGGTGAACTAGATTTGTCACATGCTTAATAAAGAGTGGTTTGAAACATATTGTAAGTCAAAAAATTTGGAATTACTTTTATTCATCGTCGCTTCCACTTACATCTGACAGTAATAAACTGTCGCTATCGCTTTCCTCGTTGAAATTGACTATAACTGGCTCTATGATGGTGTCGATGTGGTGGTCAAGCTGCCACATTTTTGTTTCTTAATTCACAACATGACGGATAGCATTCTGCCAAGCTTCGGGCGTTACTAGCTGTATGGAAGTCTCAAGTAAAACCTTAACGTCTGGTAATTTGAAGATTGTGTTATTGCGCGCAATATAACCCTTCACTTGAGCCCAGATGAGCTCTATTGGGTTCAGTTCACAGTGGTAGGGCGGTAACCGCAGCACAGTGACACCACATTGACGGGCCATCTCATCAGTCACGTAACTAATGTTCGCAGGTTTGTGCTGTTTAATTTTTTCATACAATTCCGCTTTCACACATGAATCGTCAAACGGGATTCCTTTTTCGCGCAACCATTGCTGCATGTCACTTTTTCGAGATCCCATAGTCGGTACACGTTCGGCTCGACGACTATGGTAGGAAGCATTATCCATGACGATCACAGAGTTGGGCTCAACTCGCTGAACCACCCCTTGAAACCAGCTCTCGAAGCAGCTGGCATTCATTTCGTCATTGTAATCACCTCCTTTCTTAGAGACGAAAATCAAGTCACACTCTTCTAAAAAGCCACTATCGCTACCAATATGAGTTACGATCAATCTTTCACCTTTCCCTGACGGTCCACGAAGACCTGTTGACAAACCTTCAATGCTTGCTTGTCGGTTACTCACTACGTTTTTGTCTATCCAGGTTTTTTCAACTGTGTGACCTGCATTTAC